GGGGCCCAAGGGCAGACCCTGTTTGCAGAGGGCGCCGCGTCCGGCGGGGCGAAGGGCAGCGCCGCGCCCGGCCCTGCGGAGCGCCCGAGTCTTGCGGAGCCGCGGTTCGTCGCGGCGGCGGCGCCGGCGTTGTCCCAGGCTCGGGCCGGTGCGCGTTGCGGATCGAGCGCGGCCCGGTGCCCCAGGCCGGCCGCGGGAGGGCCGTGGCGGAGGGCCCGAAGCGCCCTGCCGCGGGCATCGCCGAAGGCCTCCCTGGCCCGGCCGGCTGTACTGATGGGCTCTGCGCCCGTGCGGGGCGGGCGCGGGGCGCCCTGTGGCCCGGCTCGTCCCGCGCGAGGCTCTACCCGGACGACTGTCCCCGAAACCGAGTCCGCCTCCCGCAAGTGACGTGGACATTTCTGGCCTGCCAACCCCTGGGCGAGCGGGAGCTGTGCCAGGAGCGGCTGCGGCCTCCATCCGCGCGTCACCGTGGCCTCCAGCTGGAGCAACTGCACCATGGCGAAAGGGAAGTGAATTAAAAAGTCCCTTGCCGTTCTCACGATCCCCCCCCCCGTGGCCCATTGGAGGGTCTGTCTCTGGCCAGGCACCCTTTTAACAAAGTGGCGTCACAAAGTGCACACTTTGCTCAGAAGTGTGCTGTTCACGAGGCCCAGCAATGGAAGCCACACCTGGGCAAAGAATGACCTTTGCTTGCAAAAGCAGGTAAGTCCCCCCCTCCCACGGCCACCTTTCAGATCCCTGGAATTTTGAGTGCCCTCCGGGTCTCCCCAACTTGCCACTCTTTCCTGACACTCCAGATGCTTGGAAGGTGGAAAAATGCACCCGCCACCATTTTTGCTGGTTCTCGCCCTTAACAGCAGGCAGAGGTGGGCTTGGCTTGGCTTTGTATTGTGCTGCACTGCATGCAAGGATTTAAGCGTCACAAAACAGGGTACAAAGCTGTACTTCTGACAGAGGTCAAAAGAAAGAGACCTGATACTGTAACCTGGTGCACTGGTACTGTAACTGTTCTGGAAAAATAATCATGCAGATGTTGATAATGTGCCATGGAACATTTTGCAATGCCCCTAAAGCTGTGTGAATTTTTTACTTGAATTTAATAAACAGCATAGCTTGGAAGCTTGTTCATTTTGTGTCTTATGCCACAAGATTTCTCCTGAAATGTTTGAGGGAGCAAATGAATTGCACAGCAGAGGCTGCGATATGTAGAAGTTGCACTGGAATGTTTGCAAACGTTGGACTGCAAGAGGCTACACTTGCCTTGCCTTGTTTACACAAGGGAGAAACCAAAGGTTAGCACGCGGTTTGCACTGAGCAGGCCAAGTGAGCGCTGCGCCCCCGCTTTGGCTTGGCGAGGCCGCCTGCCTGGCTGCTCCCTGGGCAAGGCGGCTGCGTGGCCCTTGCGAAGCCAGAAGGGCTGTAGCTCCGCAGTGCTGCATCTGTGCACTTGGCAAGGACCTCGACTTCACGCGGCAGCCGCCCCCAGATGCGCTTCAGGCTCCGCCAGATCGTCTCTCTTCATGGCCGGGGCCGGCCTCCTTTGGGATCGGCAATGGTGTTCTGTCATCTAAATCATCGTTCCGTGCACTGCTCTTTAATGGAGGATGACCCCAGGTGACAATGACCGATGAGAACTCTGCTTATGCTTCGAACAGGTGCACACGTCTCCAGTGGAATGGCGTGTAGAAGATGCCCTAAAATTCTGCTCAGGCCAGCAGACAGAAGCCGATCCCATGGATGCATCCCTTTACCTAATGAGCACATCATGTTTAATTCATATGCAAATATGAAATTGCCACAGAAGGCCAGTTTGGCCGTGTATTCTGCTCCTGATAAAAATCATGAGAGAACCTCATAAAAACACCGTGCATTTTTGCAGTAGTGCCTAGACGAAAGGTCACCAGGTGCTACAAAACCTGCTGCAAAAATAATTGATAGGTGGCTGCAGAAGTCGTGGCCAAAACCACCCCCTGCCCTGTCAAACCCTTCTAAGGCCGATTCAGAGGTTCAGGCAGGGTTAAGGAGGGCTGCAGCTCCTCAATGCTCTGTCGTTTTGACAGAGAACTGTGGACGTTGAATCTGCATATTTTTAGGTCAAAGTTACCCTGTTCAGCCCAGCCCACATCTCTAGGAAACAATGACTACAGGAACTATGTAAGAACAACGAAACAATAAACAATAAAACTACAGCAATAAAGCCAGAGCAATTGCGATCCAATTGGCACTGAGGTACAGTGGTATAGAATAAAATGCAGATACTAAAATTAAGATTAAAATTAAGAATTCAAACTCTGGGAAATGAAACAGGGATTCACCTGGCACCAGAAAAAGTAGGCAGTAGGTGCCAGTTGCCTGTCTAATCAGTGGATTGCTGATGAATCTTGGACTGCATCTTATCCATCTTATCTGGCCAGGGCGACTTACTTTATATTGTTAATTTGTTTTAAATGTATTATATTTTAATTTATGTTGTGAGCCGCCCCGAGGCTTCGGCGAATGGGGTGGCATAGAAATGTTTTCAATAAAAATAAAATAATAAAAACTCTTTCTTGTCTTTGTGTGCAGCAGCTCCTCTTCAACAACAGACTGCTTCATCCTCCTCAACGCTGCAGCTGCAGCACTGCTCTGGTTTCTTTCAAACATCTGTTTTGACATGTCCAGCTGTTGCTTCACTGGGGAGGAGGGTATTACACATATTTGTAATGGAACTGTCTTGAATATTCACTGATACCCGCTCTTTTAAGATATCTAATTACTGTATGGAAACGGACATGTGGAGAACGGGAGTCAGTGTGGCGTGGTGGTCAGAGTGCTGGACTGGGGACCTGGGAATCTTGAGTGCCCACCCAGCCATGGGGCTCACTGGGGGACTTTGGGCCAGGCAGAGACTCTCAGCTCAGCCTACCTCATCGGACTCTTGTGAGGACAAATGCAAGCCACCTCACAAAAAGAGCGAGCGAGGAAGAAGAGTACGAGAGAAGAGAACAAAGGTAGCGCACCTGCCTTGAGAAAGGAAAGTCATCTCAGGTGTTTTTTGGCCTTTTTTTTAGCATCAACAGCTTTCCATGTTTCATCCTGGAACGGTTGCCTTCATCTTGGAAATACTGATGCATGCTATCAGGAGCAAAATTCCAGTGGCACTGCTTCCAGGATCTGTGGCCCTACCTGCTGGGTAAATGGGGAGCTCCCGTTCAAAGATCCTTGAGGACTGCAGCTGGTGAAGACCGTTCCCAACCGTATCCGCCTGCATGGAGCACTTTAGCCTGGGAGTGGAAGCTGCTCTGCCTGACTGAGCCTTAGCTGCTCACCTTGATTCCCACGTTGTGCTCAGCCATTGTACAGTTTTGTAGGACTCGAATTCTGAATTGCAGCCGTGCTATTCGAGAAAGTTTGCTGGGCGCCACCACAAGGGTGGCACGGCAAGCAGCAACAACCACACGTCCACTTCCCTGGGGAAATCCTCCTGGGGCACTTTTGGACAAGCTGGGCCAGGTGGGGGGCTGCCCTTCCAGAAAGGCTGGGGATGCCCACTTGCCGAGTCCCCACTGGCCACCAGGGGGCACTGCTCTCCGTCTTCCAGCCGAGCCTGGATGTAGAGAATTCGCCTTGCGCATGCTCGGGAGCCATTTGCTGCAGGTTGTGGGCTTCAGCGCTTGATGTGCAGAAGAAGGCAGGCCGCCGCCCCCGCCCCCCCCCCGAGGGGAAGGGCTCCAGTTGCCTGCTGCTGGGGAAGACGGTGGAGGGAGGGCCCTGTGCGCTGCACGGACCTGAGCTTGGCATCGCTGTGAGCAGAAGAGGCCAGTGGGTAGCTCAGGGTGCCCCCCCCCCCGGAGGGAGCTTGCTGGGGGTGTGATCGGTAGCGGCACAGATAGCTGGGCTCGAGGGGATCCAGCTGCCTGGCTGGGGCGGAGGCAGTGGCCGCGGTCCACGAGGCTCCGGCTCCGGCCGGCTTAGCCCTGCAGTCGCAGGGGGGCTGCTCAGCAGGAGGCCGAACCCAGAGCCTCTGGAACGCTCGGCCGGCTAGGCAGGCACAGCAAGGCCCCTCACGGAGCGGGTGGGAAGGTGGAGCAGCTGGGGCTTCTAGGCACTGGGGACCCCTTGCGACAAGCTGGGACTGCGCAAGCGGAAGCGGCTCCCCTTGACCCAGGAGGAGCCAGGCAGCCGCCCTGCAACAGAGAAGCCGCGGCAGAGCAGCTTTCCAGCGGAGCCCCGGGCAAGCGGACCCGTGCGAGTGAGATCGCCCGAAACACGGGATGGATGGAAACAGGCCGCGAGAAAGTGCTGAAAGAGGCCACCCGATGAGGCAGGTGGGTCGAAGGAGACGCTGCATGGGCCAGAGAGGCCTGGTCAGGGTCACTGTGCATGTGCAGGTTTCTCTAGGGAAATGCTAGGCACCCCCAAGCCAGAACAGGAGAGCAGGAGCACCTGCCTGGCAGACCCTGTGTGGAACGGGGGACCCAGCCGGAGGCGGTCCTCTCTGGCTATAGGCTGTATAGGGAGGACAGAGAAGGGTGTCCTGGGGGACGGGCTTGCTGCTCTGCAGGTCAAGCGGAGCAGGGCTGCCACGGACAGGGCAGGGCATTTGGGGGGCGGGGCATCCGCTCACAGGGTGGCTGCAAAGGTGGACGTGGCTTTCGACACAGCAGAGCACAACAGCGCGGAGACGCGAAGGCGCGCTGTGGCCCGGGTGCGGGCGAGAGGCGCTCGGTGTCGCAAGGAAAGGACTGGATCCAGGCTTGCTTACAAGGAGCCGCGTCATTGCTGCCATTGTCTCGGTCCCGGCCATCTCCCCCGTCTTGAGCAGCACCTCACTTACGCCTCATGGCCAGGCTGGCTCCACTCGGCTGGAGCCCCCCAGGATTTGTCCGAACAAGAATGCAAAGGAAATCGCCAGCTTCTGGAGGTGGCACGCGCACAGCAGGGGACACTGCGATCGCACATCCGATGGAAGAGTGCTTGGGAGGCAGGGTAACGCTGGTTGGGGGCAGCGCAGCCACTGAGCCTGTGCGCAGGGGCGGGGGCAGAGGCGGGTGTGTGCTGGGCCAGAGAGCACTGCGGGTGGGGGAGGCCCCCGCCTGGCGAGCCAAGGCCCCCCCACTGCGGGGGCCAAGAGGACGGACTCATCGTTTAGCAAAACATTAACTCCGGCCTCCTATGGGAAGGCAGGAGGGTGTGTGAGCAGGACCGATCAGGGAAGCAGCACCGTAGCCTGTCCGCCTTTGACCCACGGTCAGGCCAAGGGGCCTCCCAGCTGCAAAAGCAATTCGCTGGGGCTGGGCAGAGATGACGCAGGCGCTGCACTTCAGCTCAGGCAGCTCACGAGCTCGCTCCTGCCGGGAGCCAGGGCCGGGGCCTGGATTCTGGGGTGCAGGGGCAGGTGCTGAAGAGACGCGGCCGTGCTGGAGGCTGGCATGTCGGAGAGAAAACGCTGTGAGCAGGTCTCTCCCGCCCTCTTGCCCTCTCTTTCCAGCAGACGCAAACAAAACCTCAGAAATGCAGGTCTTGCATTGAAACCTAACAGGTTACAGAACGGTGTAATCAAAGCGACGGTGGCCTTCAGCTGTGGGAGACGCAGTCTCACGTGCAAAGAGGCAACTCTGCACCGAAGGTCCCTCCTTCCCCACTTTCAGAAGAGTGGGGACTCCCCCTTCGGGTGGCCCAGTCAGGAGAGGCCGGCTGGCCGGCCAGCCACGAAGTGCCCGAGGCTCCCACGGACTGGGCCAAGGAGCTCACCATCCGCCACCTGAAAGTCCTTGCCCCAGATGGGCTGGTCCTCTGCCTAAGAATCCTCGCCAGGCGTCCCTGGAGCTGCCGAGTCGGCTGCCCGCCTTGCCCTCTGCCTCCTCAGATCTGGATGACTCACTCCAGTCTTCAAAATGCAATCCGGGTCTTACAACTGGATACGAGCCATAGGAAACCAGCATCAAATGGACTTCTCCCCCAAGCCGGCAAGGCAGCCGTGGGTTGGCAGGACGGAGAGGTGAACGCCTGCACCCCTGAAGGCAGCGCTGCAGCCACGGAGAAGAGCGGAGGCTGCCAGCCCAGGCCCAGCAAGATCCAGGGTACTTTGGCTCCTGCTTTAGCCAGAGCGGCCGTGCAAACCTCAGCCGGAAGACCACCCTTGCTTCCAGGCGCTCTCCCGTGGAGGAGTCTTTTATTCCCCCTTCATCCCCCGCCCCACGCACAGAATTGGTGCAGATCCAAGGAACAAGGTTGTCTTTCCCGGGTAAACCCGAATTTCCCACCCCTTCCTGGGTATTTTTCCTTAACAGAAAAGAGGGCCAGAAAGGATCCGTAGCCAGCATGCGGCACCGCATTTTCCGTCTGCCAGAGCGAGGAGGCCTTAGAGGCAGCGCCCTGAAGAGCGGGCACTGTAGGCGCAGGGTGTGCCCACCGCCTCCCCGTCGGGACCTGCTGGAACAAGACGGGAGAAAGGAAACTGCCGCCGGCAGTTCTGCTGCTCCTCCCAGAGCTTGTTGCCACCCGGCCCGGGCGCCGGGTGGGGCCAGCCCTTTCCCAGGCCTGCCAGGGGCTCTGCCCGGCTTGGGTGTGCAGACCAACTGGGAGCCCCGCAGCGCCCGTCAGCCGGCCAGTGTGATGCCCTGGAGACCCACCCTGTGCAGCCCCCCCCCCCCAGCCGCCCAGCCCACGTGCCCACTAAGCAGCACAGGCACCCTCTCAGGCTGAGGACGGGTCTGCCTGGGGGACATGGGCCCTGGAAGCAGGGGTCAAGGGTGAGAGCCAGGGCCCTGGAGGGAGAGCGGCCAGGTGGCCCAGCATCCTGCGTGCCTGTGAGGCGGGAGAATGCAGGCCAAGCCTGGCCGAGCGGGGAGGCCACAAACCAGGCAGAGGTTCTGGGGCCCAGGGGCCCATGCACACCGCCGCACGACCAGGCCTGCCCTGCCGGGAGCCCCCACGGTTTCCTCGCTGGGAGAACGATGTCTGGGGAGAAGGAAGGGCGAATCGCAGGAGGCGCGCCAGGGACGGACCCCTCCCGGCCAGGGCCAGGCTGCCCTCCGTCCCTGCCAGGAGGGGCCGGGCGGGATGCCTGCGGGTGCGCGGAGGGGCGCACGGACGGCCCCCGGGACTCGCCTCGCCGCCGCGCCCCTGTCAGGTCCTGACTCGCCCCTCTTGAGCAAGAGGTGGAGGCGCCGCCCGGCCGGGGCGGAGGCAGCGGCCGCGAAGTTGTGCAACTTGATCCGCCGCCCGCCCAGCCGAGCGAGCGCGCCGGAGAGCGAGCGCAGCGCTGCCCGGGCCTGGCTCTCGGCGGCGCGGCGCGATGGGGCTCCGGGAGACGGCGGCGGCGGCGCTGCTGCTGGTGCTGGCCGCGTGCGACGGCTCGGAGCCGCGCCTGAGCCTCCGCTACGGTGGGTGAGCCGAGCCCGCGGCGGCCGAGCGCCGGACACGGCCGGGCCGCCGCTGCTGGCCCCGCCCCAGGACCGGCCGCTCCCCGCGGCTCCGGAGGGGTGGCGAGGAGGAGGCGGCCCGCCGGCCGCGCTAGACGGCCA